GGTGCTGCAAGGTACCCCAAGAACACCACAGGCATGTTTGGCCTGGAGAGCCAAACCTCCCTGCAAGAGGAGTGTAGAGTGTGGACTCCTTTATGAGACCCCACATGTAGCTTTCCTTTGGTGGATGCTTGTTCACCATGTCACGCTGCCCTTTAATAAACCATTGAAGATTCTTGGGTGGTAGGCCTGGCTCAGCTCCATCAGCAGCTTTGGACAAATTCATCTATAGCCACTAACTAGCTTCCCACGAGGGGTGTAGACACATTGGCGGTGGCGTAGGGGATGACTCATCCTGCTCCTGTGGGCAGTCTCAGAGCCAGAATCTCTTTGCCTCTGGTCGATTCCAAATGGTAGACCCACATGAGTAGTCATATACTCAGGAGATCACTACGACTTCATAAGACGGTTTTTAAAAACAATTGGCCTTGGCATCACCAGGAGCAAACACTAGCAGCCACTCCAAGAGTCTATCTGGGGAAGGCTGGTGCCTCTGCATGTCTGATTGGGCCGAGTAGCAGGTGGGGTAACAGGGGGCCATTTAAGACAGTGATAAAGAAGCCAAGCACACTGTAAGCCCGCTCTCAGCTGGGCATCTTACCAGCTCCACCCCAGCTCAGAAGTTCTCAATCGGCTCTCAGGGGAAGCAGACAGGGTGAATGGCATCTGTGTGTTACGCCTCCAGAATATTCTTTTAAAAGTCCACAGTGCATTCCAGTTTCTAACCTTCCTACTTGTATGGGTTCACTGTGGAATTCTATCAGATATTCTCTCTCACAGCTACTGCAGCTTTTAGTTTTAGATTCAATATGGTTTTCACTGTCAGAAATATGGAGACACTTTTCAAATATGAAAAAGGACCCTTTAAAATTTGAGGAAAATCATGCCCTCTGTTCAAAAATGATTCGCTTATGCTTCGTTGATACGGGACTCATGAGTTGGGAATATCCCCACTGTGAATCCTAGACCTGTCACCAAGAAGAGGCCATGAAGTTTAGGAACAAGGAGACACTAGGAGAAGGGAGTGGATCCACTGGCTTTATGGGGACTGACAGGCACACGTCAGGAATCAGCTCTCTCAGTCAGCACTTCAGGAAAATCCCACCACCAGGAGGATTCCGAAGTCTGGGAAATGGAGAAAATCCAATAGTCCTCCTTCACCGAGTCACGCGTAGCCTACCCTCTTTGAGCCAAAGACAAGGGGGTTAAAAGCAAACAGAAAACTAGCAGGACCATCTGGGACCTGTTTTCAATGCAGAAATGGTTGCCTTTATCCCCCAAGTGATACATACGCTGTATGCCTCCTGTTAAAACCCTAGCAGGGTCGGTTTTTAAAGGTTATTCAACTACTTTTATTTTTGGAAAAGGCATTATGGCCAGGGGAATGCAGTTACACATAGGTCACATCGGAAATGTGCATCTGGTGAAACCTACATAGCCCTGACTTCCGGGAATTTAGAGGCACTGCAAAAGGACGGTCATGCGGGGAAAGGGCCCTGTAGCAGACAGAAGGCAGGAAGTGTCATTTTAGAAATGCTCCAATGGACGGGTTTCGGCGATGTGTTGTTCTGCTATATAGAGTGGTGGTATGCACAGTGGAGAGTATTTTCTAAAACGAAGAATGGCTGAAGGGAGGATACAGAGCTAGTAGGGCCCAGATGAACCTTCTAGAATGTCTTCTGACTTTCAGCACACTGGGGGGATAATGAACAAATTTCCCATGTGATGCAATGCTTTATAGCATAATGATCTAGATTTCAGACTTTGTTAAGGTTTTTTTAAAAAAATTCTAATGTGCACGGTGTGATGGGCAGAGTGAGTGTAAAAGCTTTAAGAGTGATTAATTGCATGGCAGACACCCACGCTAACTTCACTTCCAGAACCTGACTGATGCATCCATGTACATTTCCGTTGAGGGATTTTGGTGGGAGGAGTGCTCCTCCTTACGAAGTCACGTGTATTAAAGTCTATGCAGTCACTTCTAATTTACTTGCACTGTTTGGGAAATGCAGGTTTACAAAAATACACGTTTGGAATAAAAAAAAAATGGCTGCAAATGATTCAGGAGTTTGGTGTGTAATTTCTTTGCCAATGCAGAACTTGAACCTTTTTAGGATGTTGAAGATGGGCTTTGAATGCAGTACTTCATGAGCATTGAAGAGCATGGGCAGGTCTGTCTTATTCAATGTGGCTGAACACTCCCCCATCCTTGGCCTCCATCCTGCAGCCACCACCTTCTCTGTGCATCACCCACCTGCCCAGGGCCACACCCGGGACCTTGATCTTAAGATAAAGGTGCCCAAATTAAATGGAGGGGATTCCTCAATGTTAGTAGACTGCTTCCAAGTGTTTCCACCAGTCACCAAGCATTTTCCCAGAAGCCTTTCAGTAGCATCCTTACACGTTCACAAACATCATGTTCTCTTAGATTTGTGATCTCTCATCTGTCTAGTTACGTCCCTGTTCTTACCTCACATGTTGTTCACTTGTGTGTTTTTCTCTTTTTCCCCTTAGAGGAGACCAACAAAGGTCTATCTATTTTACCAATCTTTTTCAAGAATAAGCCTTTGGCTGTACCAATCAGACCTACTGGGTTTTGTTTTCTGTATCATTAATTACTGCCTTTATACTTGTTAAAATTTACTTTACTGTCCTGTAGTTAAAAGTCATGCACAAACACACCACACAGTGTAAAGGGGGGTGTGAAAAGTTACACACCAAGGGGTTAAAAATGGTTGCCTTTAGGTAGATGGGATTGTCAACGTTTTAGCTCTGTTTTGTTTTTTTTTTACTTAACTGAATTTTAGTTTTCTACAGTAAGCATGCATTTCTTTTGTAACAATGAAACATATGCAAATTATTTTTTCAATAAAATTACATCTGGGAAAGTGTGAGTTGCTAAGCCAAAAGAGATCCCAAATTGCAGTTCTAGAAAGGGATGCGATTTGTTTGCAACAAAGAGCACTGATGAGCCTGACTCCGAGGGCAATGGTCCAGTGAGCAATTTCAAGCCTTTTAATCAGATGCTTCCTGGCTTAACAAGACCTGCCACCATCACTAATACTAATTAAGTACATTTCTCTAAGATTGCCCAACCTGTTTCCTTAAGCCAGGAAAAGGTCTGGACAACCTCAAAAGAATCAAGAGATACAAAATGAAGAGGAAGAAGAATCACCAATTAGTAATGTCAGCCCCCTTCAATCGGGAGTTTTTCAGTCCACCAGATTGCCTCTGGTCCTTAAAGTCTGTCTGTTCAGCAGGTTACTGTGCTTAGTAATAGAATTAATGTAAGTGCTTACTTAGAGCTCTGCCTGCATTATCAGACCAACTGGCAGCTTTCCATCAGCAAAGCCGCCTGACCCTGAGATCGCGTCTATTCATTCTACGCACACATCCGACTGAAGTGGGTATGAGAGGGTATTGTCAGTTCTGTGTTAAACCTCAGACCATGCCATCAGGGCTTGCTGCCAAACCTCTGCTCTGCCTCAAAATTTAGTCCAGATCATTTTATATGTTATTTGATATGATTCTTCTATAATTGAAAAAGATCCTAAAAATTAAAACAAATGTCAACAAAGGTTTAACTCCTACCCTCTGAAGATGCCAAATAGTTGAAAAAACAGGGTGCATTTTTAGAAGTATTTCCAGGAAAACTTTCTTCTAAGGAATTACAGATTAAGAAAAATGAAATTCTCTTCAAATCAACATCTATTCAGAACCCACCTTGTTAATATCTGGCTCCATATAATAGAAAAAAATCCAAAATAACAATGGTTTCAACGCGATAGAAGTATGTTCCTCTCTCACATAAAAGAAGACCAGGTCTGGGTCATCAAGTTCTCATATAGCAGATTCATGGATCATCAGGATATCACCTCCTATCTTTCTAGGCATGTGGTTTCCATTCTTAAAGTTGTTTCATGGTTTCAGATGGCTATCAGGGTACCAGCCATCACGGCAACATTCCAAGCCTTTTAATTACCCTTCCCAGAAGTCCTATACAACCCTAACCAGAAATTAGTCATTAAAAAATGCTCCCGCCCATAAAGGAAAATGGGGAGTGTATTATTACGGAAAAAGAGCAGTGTACATAATTTTTTTAGATTTTTTTTTATTTTTTAAGTAGTATCTACACCCAACATGCAGCTCCAACTCACAACCCCGAGATCAAGAGTCACACGCTCTACCAACTCAGTCAGCCAGACACTGAAGACCACTAACAGTTGCCACCCCTGCCATGTATAAGATACTGAGAACATAACTGCCTTAAGTCCTAAGTATGTACCCTTCCAATCCTTAAGTCTGACTGGATGTGAACAAAGAGAAAACCTTTATTTGGGGCGGGGGTGGGAATCTCAGCTACACAGAGTTGGTTAATCAACTTTTCTTGTTTTGTCTTTTCTCTTTTACCCACCCCATCCCATCCCCATTCACATTTCCCTCTCTCCCAGAGGCACCAAGTCTCATGAATGGAATACATGGCCTTAGAAATATGTACATAGTATTATTTTGTGTGTTTCACTTAAGTGGTATTGGGCCTGAGAGCTCATTCTGTGTTGTATTTTTTAAGGATATACTCATGTTGCCATGTTTATACATCTAGTTCCTTGTTTCTGGTTGCAGCACCTCATTGTACATTACATTTCCACTGTGTCTTACTTCCCCAGCGCCTCTGAAGCCAACCTTGGCTACTTCCATACCTGTGGAAATGAACATCTTCTCCCATGGCCCCTCATGGACCTGAGCTAGAAACTCTTTTGCTACGCATTTCACATACTACATCTTAAGTTGCTTACAGTTTCATTCTACTAGAATGTGTCTGATGGCCATACACGTGCATCACTTCATATTCTTTTTTTTTTTAAAGTATAATTAACATACAGCCTTATATTAGGTTCGGGTGTACGACATAATGATTCAACAATTCCCTACATTACTCAGTGCTCACCACGGTTAAGTGTAGTCACTATCTGTCACCAATGTTATTACAATTTTTTTTTAGATTGCTTTTTAATTGCTTTATTAACTTTACACTTTTTCATGCAACTGGGTGACTCTACTGTTGACAGAAACTTAGACTGGGTGCCAAGGCAATCTTCAATTGGAATCTGGTAACACAGAACCCGCCTGACACATGGAAATTACATGAGGTTCACAGCAAACGAATCAGTAAAGGTATATCAGGAAAATGCAAGGAAAAAGAAAACAGTGTTGAATCACAGTATTCATCTCATGGAAAATGGCAGGAGTCAAGGCATAAGGCAAAATTCGTCACGATGGTCATGGTGATTAGAGAGCTCCCCCATCAGGATACGCAGACAATTCCTCAACTGCAGCTTCCTAAGTTTTCTCCTGATTTCTCTCATCTCCTCCATGAACATTTCCATATCATCTCCATCTCCACCCATCCCATCATTGACCTGCCTATTGGGTATGGCCCATCGGAAATTTGGAGCAAGTCGGCGAGCCTGTCCCCGTCTATTATTTCCTGCAGGTTGGTGGCCTTCTCCCCCTCCCAAAGGGCGGTCTTCCTCTCTATTCTGCATGGGCTGCTCCATTTCTTCGTTTTTCTGGTGGATATTTGCCATGAGTTTTTTTTTTTCCTGGTTGTTTTTCTGGGCCTGTCCTTGCTGTGTCCTCCTCCCGATTCTCGCCGTGAGTGCGGCGCCACGACACTTGACACCTACACCCGCAAACCTGCTCCGCTTTCCTCGGGCCCGATGCCAGCCCGCCCGGCGCAGGACCGCGGGGAGCCGGTACCCAGACGGGAGTCAATGTTGTTACAATTTTATTGATGGTATTTCTTATGCTGAACTTTTTATTTCCATGATTTCTTTACTTTGTAACTGGAAGTTTGTACCTCTTAATTCCTTTTATCTGTTTCACCCACCCACCCCCATCCACCTCCCCTCTGGCAACCACCAGTGTGTTCTCTGTATTTATGGGTCTGTTGTTTGTCCATTTGTTTTGTTTTTAGATTCCACAGGTAAGTGAAATCATAAAGTATTTGTCTTTCTCTGTCTGATTTATATCACCCAGTATAATACCCTCTAAGGTCATCCACATTGTTGCAGATGGCAGAATCTCATTCTTTTTTATGGCTGACTGATATTTCATCTTATATACATACACCACATCTTCTTTATAATTCATCTATGAATGAACACTTGGGTTGCTTCCCTATCTTTGCTACTGTAAATAATGCTGCAATAAACATAGGGTGCATGTAGCTTTCCAAGTTAGATATTTTCATTTTCTCTGGGTAAATAGTAGCGGAATTACTGGATCATAGGGTAATTCTATTTTTAATTTTTTTAAGAGAGGTGGGGGGAGGGACGGAGGAGGAGAGAGAATCTTAAGGAGGCTCCATGCCCAGCACAGAGCCCAACGCGGGGCTCAATCTCACAACCCTGAGATCATGACCTGAGCTGAAATCAAGAGTTGGATGTTTAACCAACTGAGCCACCCAGGTGCCCCTCTGTTTTTAATTTTTTGAGGAAACTCCATACTGTTTTCCACAATGGTTGTACCAATTTGCATTCCCACCAACCGTACATGAGGATTCCTACTTAATGGTGAAAACCTCAGATCTCTCTGTTTCCTCCTTAGTCCCTGCGAGGTTAACTCCCTAGCGTGGGGACTTGCACCATGAGAATCACAACATATATTGCACACTCCAACTATAGTGCGTGGTATAGCTTCTGCGAGGGATCCTATATTTTCAGGACAGGAAGCTCTAAGACACTATACATTTATCATTAAAACATTTAGTAACTCCTTCCATAACAGAAATATTATTTTCCAGGCTTTTCTGAGAAGTGATGACCATCCGTGGACTCTCCATGTAAGACTTCCCCAGGATACTTGTAATATCAAATATCTATCATGTTCTCATGCCGCATCCAAACCTGTTGACAGATGCCATGTAAGATATACAGTAAATGGGTGTGTTTGAGAAGATGAGCTATTGATTTAGGCAGATCATGCACCAACACCCAGCAGGAGAGAAGAGGAGCCGAGGGCCATGCCCACCAGGGTCCTGAGAGACAGGTGACTGGCAGAAGAGAGCCCTGGTCATTTGTGAGGCAATCCCCCCCACCACTACCACTACCCCCACCACGTACCAGAACCTGGCCTAAGGGACCTTAGAAAGGTCCTAAGTTCACCTAGGACCCCCAGGCCAGATGGGTACAGGAAATCATGCAGCTGCATACAATCACGATCATGCCCAAAGAGGAGATTCAAGAATGTTCGGTTGAATGAGTCTGGCTCAAGTATGGACCCTCGGGTGTGGTGTTATTTGGCTTTGTCTGCACTTTCATGAAGAGCAAGGTCTGGCGCATACCAGTTACATCTAGAATCTGAATCTTGGAACTGTCGCCCCCTCTGGAGATCTTTCGTTATGGAAATTTTTTCCTCAGCATCCCCGAAATTACTTTCTTCCAGCTTCTGTCGAACATTCCATTAGATGAATCATTCACGTGATTTTCCCCACCCTACTGCTCAGCTCTACCTGAACCTTGGGAGCGCCCTCTGTTTTCCCAGCCCTCCCAGCCATCTGTCCCCAGCCTCCCTTTTCCCCCCTTTTTTGAAAAATTGTGATAAAGTATACATAATATACAATTTACCATCTTAACCATTGTACAGTCAGTGGTATTAAGTCCATTCATGTTGTTATGCAACCATCCCCACCATCCCTCCCCATATCTCTTTTCATGATGTAAAACCAAAACTCTGTACCTATTAAGCAGGTCCCATTCTCCCCTCCCCCCAACCGCTAGCAGCCACCCTTCTACTTCCTGTCTCTAGGTTTTTGACTATTCTAAGTACCTCATGTAAGTGGGATCGTACAACATCTATCTTTTTGTGACTGGCTTATTTCACTCAGCATAATGTCCTCAAGGTCTATCCACATTGTAGCATATTGCAGAATTCTCTTTCCTTTTAAAGCTGAATACCTTTCCATTGTAGGTACATACCACATTTTGCTTCTCCATTCACTAGTCCGCAGAACACTTGGGTTGCTTCTACATTTTGGCTACTGTGAATAATGCTGTGATGAAGATGAGTGTGCAAGTATCTCTTTAAGACCCTGTTTTCCATTCTTTGGGGTACATACTCAGAAATGGAATTGTTAGATCACACAGGTAATTCTATTTTTCATTATTTGAGGAGTCACCATACAATTTTCCATAGCGGCTGCACTATTCACACTCCCAGCTGTGAACAGGGGTTCCCATGTGTCCACATCCTTGCCAACACTTGTTTTCTGTGTTTTGGGGGTCTTTTTGTTTCATTTTTGACAGCAGCCATCCTAATGGGTGTGAGGTGGTATCTCATTGTAGGTTTGACTTACATTTTCCTAACAATTTGTAATGTTAAGCATCTTTTCATTTGTGTATCTTCTGTGGAGAAGATACTCAAACCCTCTCCCCTTTTTGGAATTGGGTTGTTTTTTGTTATTGTTGTTGTTGCTGCTGAGTTTTAGAAGTTTCTATATATTGTGGGTATAAAACCCATATCAGATATATGATCTGCAAACATTTTCTCCCATTCTATGGGTTGCCCCTCTACTCTGGATAGTGCCTCTTGATGCACCAAATGTTTACATTTCTATGGAGTCCAATTTGTCTATTTTTTCTCTTGTTACCTGTGCCTTTGGTGTCATGTCCAAGAAATCATTGCCAAATCCAATGTTGGGAAGCTTTTGTCCTATGTTTTCTTCTAAAGGTCTTTTTTGCTTCAGATCTCACATTGAGGTCCATCCTCCATTTTGAGTTAATTCTTGTATGTGGTGTGAGATAAGGGTCCAACTTCATTCTTTGCATGTGGATATCCGGTTGTCTCAGCACCATGTGTTGAAAAGACTGTCTTTTCCCCCATTGAATGGTCTTGGCATCCTTCTCAAAAATCATCTGATCATATGTGGCGAGTTCATTCCTGGGTCTCTAGTCTATTCCACTGGTCTATTTATCTATTCTTCCCACTGTCTCACCAGCCCACCCCACCATCTGTCCTAAGCCTCCCTAAAAAAAAAAAAAAAAAAAAAAGTCAATTTTGTCTCCATGACAGCACTCAAAGCATATGAAAAAGAGCATTATTACCTACAGAATTTCTCTTTCCTGCATAAAGAAATCTCCAGTTCCTAAAACTATTTTTATGACAGTTTCCACATCCTGCACCATCTCTGACATAAAGAGAAAAATTAACTGTCACCTTCTAATGAAGCTACCCCTCAAATTTCCCTCCTTGCTGTGAGTTGCCAGTATAGAACTACATTCAGTAACTAGAATCTTTATCCACGTTTCCTTGACAGCTTTGCCATCCTGTTGACTCATAATAAGGTTGTGTGCAATTCCTAGGTATTTTTTAATCCACTGCTGCAAAAGAAAAAAAGAAATATATTCCCCATGCCATTTTTCTTAATTCTGGGAAGTATTTCAGGAAAGTGCAAACATGATTATAACAAATGCCTTAGAATCTACCACCACTTTGTCATGTTTGCTTCAATTACTTTGTTGAGTCGTTGGCTTTTTTTTTTTTTTTAACCTTTGGGGAAAATAGAGACTCATAGGCAGCTGAAAAATAGTAGGAATAAGTTCCATGTCCCCTTCACCCAGCCTTCGCCAATGGTAACATCTAGCATAACTATAAAATATACTGTATCAAAAAGGAAACATTTTCATTGGTACAATCTACAGACCATATTCAGATTTCATTAGTTTTTTTTTTTTTTAAGGTTGATTGATTTTAGAGAGAGTGGGGTGGGGGCAGAGGGAGAGAGAGAATCACAGGCAGACTCTGTGCTGAGCACAAGCCCCAGGGGCTCAATCTCAAGACCCTGAGATTGTGACCTGAACTGAAATCAAGAGTTGGAGGCTTAACTGACTGAGCGCCCTGGGGGCACAGTTTTCCCTCATCAGTTTTTATACACATGCACTAATTTGTGTGTGTGTATGTGTGTGTGTGTGAGTGAGTGATCTATAGTTTTATGCAATTTGATCACCTACCTAGACTCACATAACCACTACTACAATCAAGATTAATCACCACATTATTTTGTACGCCTGAAACTAATATAATGTTCTATGTCAATTATAACTCAATTTTAAATTTTTTTAAGATTAATCACCACAAAGGGACTCCATGCTACCCCTCCACCACCATTCCTAACCCCTGACAACCATTCTTCTAGTCTCCATCGCTATAATTTTGTCTTTTAGAAGAGGTTTTATAAATGGAATCATTGAGTACATAACCTTCTTTTTTCTTTCCACTTGTACATTCTAGTCAGATTTATTTCTCTTCACAGAAATAGTTCCCTTTTTTCTCTGCAGAAATATTCACTTTACATATAAATCTTCCATACAAACGGCCATGTGCGGAAAGCCTTCTTCAGCCATGTGGGAAGAGCCAGAGGAGGGAGATTCCCAACTTCATGTTTGGTAGTTAGTTTCCATAGTGGTAACACTAGTTTTCTGGCACTATCCTATAGATACAATGTATGGATTCAATAGGCTTTTTTTCCCCCATTGGCCTAAGTGCTATCCGTAACATTGCTTAACATAGTGAGAAACTGTATTCCGAAGTCTGACATGGGAAACAACCTGTCAGTAGGTGTTTGCAAACACTGTGTTGAAATTGTGTAGACAAGTTTTGCTTTGCCAAACATTGTGTGGACTGGGAGTTAACTTTTATCTGACTGGGATCAGAGAAACAAAAATGTCTGAACTTCTTTTCATTGTGGTAAAAAAAAAAAATAGTAGA